GATGTTTTCGTAATGCCCAATAAACACACAAGTATTACTCACAAATACAAACGTTATCCACGAATGCACATGGTTTAGCTCTGAGCATGCGATGCGCTAACACAGACAACATTGTTTACATTCCGTGAGTCCGTATATTAAACGTATAAAATTCGAAAAACTCAGCTATCCAGATATTGCATTTCCAGAGACGTTGCACGAAAAAACCCCAACCAGTCAACTTCCGAGGAAGTGCAGTTTGAACGTAAAACATCTTAAGTCGAATTTTAGACCCCTACGATTTAAACAGCGCGTTGTTTTGATGTACGCTCTATGGGACGCGCTAAAATATAAATATTCTGTAAATACCAAAATAAAAGATGAAAATCTGAAGTAAGACACAAGCTTGAAAATAACACTATAAATAGTGTTTTGGATTCTGATTCCATTAATACTATTACGAAAAAGATATGTCCAAAGGGGCCGAAGTTATGTTCGACGAAATGTAGGGCTAGTTTACATTGTTCATTATATTATGAAATATTGATACCATGCATGATGTGTTCGTAATGCCCAATGAAACACAAGTATTACTCACAAATACAAACGTTATCCATAAATGCACATGGCCTCTGATGGATATAGGGACTCAGGAGGTCTGGAACTGGTAATTGTGCGCGTGCGTACAAGTGTATGGGCTAATAAAGAAAGATGTATCACAAGCATGGCATGAGCCGGCTACTTCGTACATAAATACGGACCTTGTTACTATGAAAACTAAATCAAGCAGTCGGGGAATCGAATGACATTTGAATCGATGGCATTTTGGATTAATCGTCACACCCTGAGCCTGCGATGCGCTATCGCAAACTCCATTTCTCGACGAAAACAGAAAATTAGGGATTTAAGACACTTGACCTTTCAGGTCAGTGTAAAAAGTTAAAATTAGCAAGTATAACCACAAGGGGATGCTAGTAATTTATTATGGATTGAAAACCGAAACATCTATTATTCCGCCATTATTATGATTAAAATGGCCGCCAAGCAGATTTGGGCGCGCATTGCATTGTGGTTTTAATAGTTGCCGCCATTTTCGAGGCCATGAAACGTACGTACGCATTGCATTGTGGTTGATCACTTTACATGTAACGCATTGTAACCTGAAGTGAGACGTTCTGTGATTTGGCGGCTTTTATAATTCGCTGCCCGCGTTTCAATCCCAACCCCTTGAAACTGACAGCTACTGACTACGCAGGTTTCTGTGGAGGAGAGAGGTTCAATATATTGATTAACCTGAAGTTCAGGCCCTATCACAGAATAGGGCCTGACACAAAACCTATCTAAAGTGTGGGATTCCCGTCCACCTGGTGGACGGGAAATCTGATTGGTTGATCAGCATCATGAAGGATTTTGATTGTTTGCAAGTTCACATAAACAACAGTTTTAAAAATAGCTCGGTCAAGGCGAGAATTAATATAAAGGTCAAACGCACGTAACAAATTCCATTATCGATTTCTTTGAATTTCTTTTCTTTTATTCTTTATGGAAGAAAATAAATCAAACAAACAGTATTTTGAAAGGGATTCATCAAAATCTTTGACGAATTTTGGACACACACGACGCTGAAAGAACAGCCAAACTAGTCCTGTATTCGAAAGCTTGTTGTTGACAGCCAAGATGTTCTGCCAACTTGCTTCGCCGGCAAAAGTCTTATTTTTAATATCAGGTCCTACCGGCGTTGTTTTCTGAGCTACATCGCCTTCTTCGTGGTATGATTGAGAATTTAATTGTTGCTGTTATTAGCCCGTTAGTCGTTAGAGTATATCCGCGTCCAGCAAGTTGAGACCTTGAGAAAGCTTGGCAGTCAAGCCGTGCACAGAACTGACTAATTAAATCTTTGTTTGCTGTTCGCCTGTTCGGTTAAATAGAGAAACTGACTCTTAATATAAAAGTACCTTGAATTTTTAAGTTTAATTAAAAAGCAAAATGCTCTGCGGACATGTTCATGAGAATATAATTTTTTTGTGTAACGAAATCTACAACACTTGTCAATCATATTGCGTGTCTGTCTAAAAATAACATGTGGGCGTCCCACGGTCTAGACAGGTTTTGTGTCAGGCCCTATTTCAAATTAGGGCCTGAACTTCAGGTTATATATTGATAAGTGGTCATTACCTGATCGCAACCGGTTTGTTGATATGAATGCCAAATTAGGTCGAAAGTACATCTGTCACGCTGGGCTAAATCATCCGCTCAATCAGACGTTTGAACCGAATACTTCTGCTATACCACACTATACAGGACAGCTCACATTGGCAAAAAAGATAATAAATTCGGAAAGAAAGTGATCTATAGCAAAATACTTTAACATTTTTAGCATTTAAATTGAGTGATTAAATATCACGCAACCGGTTTGCAATAACATAACAAATGCACGTGTGACGACAGAAATGGACTTTGTCCGGGATATTAATACACATGCTTGTAAGCACGTGAACCTAAAAAATCAACCAATCGGAATAATCTAAATTACAATCACATGCATGCTTCACTAAAACAGACCAATGAAATATCAGCATTTTACGACAAGAAATTTCGCGGTAAGCCAAAACACGGCCAAAAGATGTGTTTATGTTTGTAAACTATTCAGTGATCACTCTACTCAACTAACTGACTGCTTTTTTCGCAAGCGTTTTTGACGATTTCGAAGTTTTATTGCTTTTTGACTGGCGAATTTATAAACAGTTAAAATTCTGAAGTCGAGGACGTCGATATATTTGTCTATAAAAGCTATAACAGTACAAGACAAAGGCTCACAGATCAACAGCCACAAATCAAACATGTCTATGGTTACAAATCTTCCGCAGAACCTCGAAACACTGAAAAGCAGGACTTTTCATTTTGCTATTCTCAAGGAAAAAACTTCAACTAACGTTCCAGTCCATTATTCTTTTAAAGAACTCGGGAATTGCGAATTGCCTGTGATGGGAACGTATGTTCACAGTCATGTTTTACCCGGCGTTAGATATCGCGTGCGTTTGAGCGACACAAATGAATATCTGTTCGGCGGGAAGGCATTGAAACTTGAGTCGATTGGTCAAGGATACGGCAAAAGAATCACTTTTGAAAGCAAAGATATTCTCGAAAATAATAACTTCTTTTGGTCGGACAGTCACGAAGCAGGTTTTGCTTTTTCGCCAGAAATTTTGTCCGGTGGCGAAGTTTTTCAAGTCATGGATAACGTAGGCAAGCGTGTTGGGATATTTTCTGTAGACAGTGTGAACCAACAACAGCAAATTACAGGCGTTACTCTCGAGAAGAATACAGTCAATATTCACGCGAAAGCCAGTCTCTGTGGAAACATGCAGCTGTTGTCTCAATATGAGAAAGATATACCTGTGGTGGGAGAAGTAATCTTAAAAGTGAATCGCTTTTCATGCACCTTGGAGTTTTTGAAGACAGAAAACAGCGTTCTCGATACAGTGTGGCACTTCGTTAAACACTTCAAGTAGACGAAAATATGTACAGAGAAAATATGTATATACAAATTATTCAGAATATTAATGTTTTAATCTGTAAAGCCTTTTGGGATTAACTTTTCCGGCATAGGTTTTAATGTAAAATTAGTTTTCCTATAAACGTTTTAAAATTATTACTAAAATTTGGCCAACTGAAAGACCTATTGAAAATGTTGTAACTTCATAAATATATATTACATGTAAATTTGAATACAAATATTATTAAACTTGCTTAGTTCCCGCGTTTTTAATATATTGGTCGTAGTGATGTGGAGGTGATTTGATTTTCACTAGGTAAATTATAAGAGCATTGACCAACCCTAAAAATGCAAAATTTTAGTTGAATTTCCGGGTTTTCTGAGGGTCCAAATATTCAAAATTTTCTCGGGGCAACATTCTCCCCCGAACCCCGTGCTAGATTTATTACCGTACCTACTGTGCTATTACTGTATTATTATAGGTAATATAGCATGGTTTCTCGTGAAATTTGGATAAACATGCACTCGTGAGTTTTTCAAATACCTCAAATAGCACTCGTCCTTGCGGCGACTCGTGCTATTTTGAGGTCTTTGAAAAACTCACTCGTGCATGTTATATCCAAATTGCGCTCGAAACCATGCTATTACCTATACTAATAAACACTTGCTAAAACTGGCGAAAGTGCCTCATAGGCTAGCAGAATATTTTTGCTTCAATATTCCAAAACCTGCATTATTCAATATTTCTACCATTCAAACCAGTCATTCTTCCACCCCCGCGGATCGGTTAGCCTGAATAAACCTTAGACTGGCCAATCCGCCAATAATCAACCTTACCGTTTATTCACAGTCATAGACTGCGAGCGGTCCCTCCTTTCCGCGGGTTTAGATTTCCGGGCATATTTATTCATTTTTGACCCAATGGGGGCAATGGCCTCGTTTTCATGTTTGCTGGTTAAATTAAGTAAGTTCTTAATCCTATTTTGCACGAAACACGAGTAAATACCTGACACGAAAACGAGGCCTTTGGTAAGGTCTATAAATTGTTTGAAAATTATGTGACGTAATAAAGCACTACTAAGAGTCTAAGGTCAATTGTGGTCAATTTCAGACGGTCACTCGTTATCGTTCGTCAAGACGATGCCTAGGCAGCCCTAGTATATGACTGTGTATAGACGAATTATCAGGAAAAAATACTTTAATTATTATCCTTAGGATTTTCGCAGCAAAAGATTATTAATAGTTTCAGCATTCACGTCCCATGGATGTGGTTTTGTGTATCTTATGACGTCAAATGTATTCTTAGTAGAGTTGTAATTGGCATTATAATTCATTTTACTCAATGTAAGCGGAACGATCGTATATTATTCAATGCTTTTACATGTGATCTATAGTCGTACTCAAAGCTCAATCTTGCAATGCTCTTTGGCCCACGTGTGACCACTTGATGTTAAAGACCGTTCATTTTTTACCTGGGAGGGTGGGCTGGTGGAAATGGCTATGCCTTCATAAAACTTTAGCATGGCCCACCCCCTTCAACTCAATTATTTCCAGTGCTCCACTCCCAAAGAATGATTTGTTTCAAAGTAACCCACCCCCATTACTAAAATTGAAAAATATGTGTTACTATAACGGTGCTTTAAATAACGTTCCCAAAGTTCCCGATCATGGTGATCGGCAGTCATGACTTTCCCTGTTTTTCAGATTGGAAACCCTGCTTTTCCGCCGATCATTGATCGGTGATCAGGTGTTATTTAAAGCCCTGCTTATAATAGAGACACGTTCAACATATACACTGTATGTGATAAATGATGTCTGAGCGTTACTGTATATTAAGCTCAAAATAGGTTATTCAAGATACAGTTGAAAATCCATATTACGGGAACAAAAGAGACTAAACATTGAAAGTGTCCGTGTCAAATGAAAATGCAATTTCATGGAAAATGTAGTCAAAACCGTTCATAGAGTACTGTCAATATTAGAAACTACTCGCACGATTCGAAAGTAAGAGAAGTCTACCTCGGATCTTCTTGCAATGCTTTTTCCTGATCTTGTAATTGCTGGCCGCAACAAATCTTTTTTAACTTCTTCATCTCCAAAGTTAAAAAGCAGAACATTTTCGTGCATATAGCATAGCATCAGAATCAACACTGGCATCAATGTTATCATCTTCATCAACATCCTCATCAACATCATTGTCGTAATCATCAGCAACATCATCATCGCTGTCATGCACTCGTTCAGCACTAGTCTGGTATTGTTCCGTCGCGTAGCTCTCTGCGTTTCCATTAGTCCGGTGATGATTAATGATCACCCTCAGCTTGTCAGATTTCCCGCTCTTTATGTACTCAGTTAAGCGATGGTGTTTTAAATACTTATTAAGCTCTGGATCCTACAGCTTGCATTCCTGTTTGCATAGTTCATCCCAGTTATAGTCTTCGTACGATTTATTGGCTAAATCATTATATACAAGAGCTTAAGAAGATAAAGACTACATGGAGTTTCTGCACGAGACCACTAAAGCTCATGATGGTTCATTGTTCACGCCAGATGGTCGCAGGTTAGTTAATGGCAACGACTTTCTCTATGCCTTTAATGAAAAAAATCCATCCTCCGTGGTAGCCAAAATTAAGAAAATAAACGAGAACCTTGAAAAACAGGAGAAACAGCTTGAAGTATTCAAGAGAGTTTTTAAAGGGATACACAACAAGCACTCAACAACAAAAAGGAGAAATGAAAACAAAACCAAAGCTGCTATTAAGAAGCGAAACCGTTTTCAGAAAAAATATCCAAAGAGAATATAACCTATGCGTCAAATAGCCAATTCCAGATCTGAAGGAATTTCTTACCTATCCACCCAATGTCATTGCCCTCAAACATTTTATAGATGTGGAAAGTGCTTCCTCCGAAGTATTTACAAAAGACGCTCAATGTGCAGCGGATTTGCTGCAACAACCCTATCTTAGCAATGGAGCAGCTAGCAAGCCTTTGTAATAAACAAAGCAAAGGCTCAGGAAAAAGTTTTTGCTGTCCTTTATCCTGAAGAATGTTTTAATGGTGGTGGTGATAGCGATGATGGATCAAATGATTTCAATGCAATTATAGGTTTTTTTGTGTTTCTATATACCAACATAGTGATTTTTTACTCAGTATTAAAAAAACAAAAGTTAATATTTTCGCGTGACCCACCCCCGCCCTTCACAAAAATTTTGGCATAACCCACCCTTTTTCGGCCATTTATTCTGGGTGGCCCACCCCCTATTTCCACCAGCCCACCCTCCCACGTAAAAAATGAACGGTCCCTTAGAGACGTAACTATAGAGGCAGTGAGACCTCCCCCGCCAGACGGTTCTTTGAGGCACTGAGGCTTGATTTCCTGCATTTTCAGGCACAATATTTTGGCATCTGAATATTAAAATACTGTTCTGAACAATAATTCCAGGTCCTCTGTTAAGAACTTGTCAGTGGAGGCCAATAGGGTCTTTAAAAGGACCAACTGAACACTCTTCTTGAAGAAACCTTCATTACCATTTGGGGAAGCAACAATTGGGGTTGGGGAGGGGGGCAACTTGCCCTTCCCAACAAGTGAATATGTTAAAAGAGGCCCTGAAGTTATTCTTCCTTTTTCCTCATGGGGAGGGGAGAATTGTCCCTCAGCTTATATGATAAACAATAATAAAAAATAATAAGTAACCATATAAATTTTTATTAATTATTGCATGTCATATATTGTAGAGTGGCAATGTTGTTTTTAATGTTTTATTTTGTCAACTTTTCAATTTATTTGAGTGCTATGGACAGCCAAAGAATATTGTGAAGGATCAAATCGATGAAAGCACAAAAATCTAACGTTGAAGTTAATTGAATCATGCCGTTTACTCAATCTATGTGCTGTAACAGCCTAACAAGTGGATGTGTTTTTCATTTGGTTTTGCACTTCTGCTAAAAATGAACAAAGCGTTTGCTATGAATTATGAAACTGTAATATTTATTCTGTTTAATCACTTTAATCTAGTAGAAATACAAAAGTATTTCTAAATTCCTTTTTAATTGTTTATTAAAGTTTGTGATAAATTTTGTTTTACAGTTGACAGTGCAGGTTTTAAAAAAATTAAAAAACATTGCTTTATGGCTAGTTTTTTTTGGTCTAGTGGTATTTGTATCATATGTAAAATTGCTGTATGGACTCGCAATTGATTCAACCCTTTTTCATTATAAACCTTTCAGAAATGCATTAAAAAAAAAGCCCGGTAAATTTTTGTTTTACGTATTGGTGCCATGAACATCCCGCATGCTACTGTTAGGGAGCCTCGATCAAAACGGATCAATTAACATGGCAATTGTTCAAGGAGTTTGGGCAAATCTGCAACACTGTTTATAATATAGTCAGGATTACTTTGTTTCAGTGTAGATTCTGTTTGTGTTCCTGTTAGAACAGCAACTGTCTGACATCCTGCATTTTTGCCTTCTTCTACATCCATTACTGTATCTCCAACCTTCAAAACATTTCTCTTGTCAGTAACTGAACAGTGTTTCATTGCTGAATGTACTAAAGACGGGTGAGGTCTACTGTGTCCTTCTTGTTCTGCACTTGATACATATTGAACTAGATTCTTCCATCCTAGCTTTTCAACCAAAGCAAGCACAACATCATGCGGAAATCCACTACCAACTGCAATCTTAATCCCTCTTGTTTTTAACCAATAAAATATCTCAGTTGTGCTTGGGATTTCCTTGTTAATATTAATCAAATGAGAGTTCAAAGCTAACTTAAAATCTTTGAACATAGTATCTAACAAAGCATTATCATTTACGTTTTTTAATTTATCGCTGTCACAATTATTCATCTGTATTTCGTGGCATTCTTTCAAAAGACAACTCAGAGCCTGTTTTTTATCCATTCCTCTGTATTTATTCACCTGCTCTGGGCTTATTTTAATCCCACGGGATGCAAAAGCTTCTGTCATAGCCACTGTGACTAAAGGTAAACCATGAATTGTATCATCAACAGTTGTTCCAGCAAGATCAAACACAACAAGCTCTATCTTTTCCGCCATCTTGGGATCACATTTAAATTGGACTTTGTACCATTCGTTTTTACTTGCAACTATTGGTTGGCTACCCCCCCCCCCCGTAAAACAGGTAATATCGTCATATTGGACGGGGGAGGGGACCAGAGTGGAACGTATAGGAAACCAGAGTGGAACATACATAGATCGATGGCAGAGGGAACACAAAAAGTTTTAAAGGTAAAGAAATAAGAAATAAAATCGGCTACACTGCATTTCGCCAGTGTATTGCTGTCAGCATTTCAGTGGACTGTGGGGATTCTGGGATCACCTAATGCAAGCTAGTTTGGCAGCAAAAAGCTGAATGCCCCTGAAATAATATAAAGTGTCAGGGTTGGGGTTAGTTTATAGGGTTATTTCCATAGGTTTATATTTCCCACCAAAATGTATACCTTATGAGCCTGCTGTAGTTACCAGCTGGAGTCGGGACAGTGCCACACTGGTGTCCATGTAACTGCACTTCACTGCAGTTAAACTATACAAAGTAACTAGATGACCGGCAGCCGGCTATCTAGTAAACTACCAGCTATATAATACCTATAGTTACATATAAAAACATTTGTTTGCACTAGTTTTACCAAGCTTGCCGTTAGCGCATACTGCAAAGGCACTGTGTGCAGAAAGTGAAACCCAGCCTGGGTCGGGTAGATTTTTTCAACTTTTTCTCCGCCTTTTTATTAATTTTAACTCTCAAAAGATTAGGTTAGGGGTTAGGGTTAGAGGAGGGTTTGGGGTTAGGAAACGATTTATCTCTTTGACTTTAATTATAGTCATGACTATATAGCCGGACGTTTACTAGATAGCCGGCTGCCGGTCATCTAGTCACTAGTTACGTCCAGTATATACCAGTAGTCTAGTACCACAGTTTAGCCCTGGTGCATAGTTGCCAACATTGGGAAGAAAACATCTGTGAGATTTTGCTTTGGGGAGCCCATGAGGCACCACCATGGTTGGTGCCGAGCAGAACAATTTTGCAAATATGGAGTCTCTAGATCGTTGGAAATGGCATTTTCAGATCAGTCTTCTATACCTTAGGCCACATAAAAAAATAGTTGGTTAGCGGGTGACTTCCCACTAGTCCGAAGGTTCACTAGTCCGAAGGTTCACTAGTCCAAAACATACGCTGGTTTTGAATTGCAATTATGTGTTAGACTTGGCTGCTTCGCAGTTAAGCATTTTTTGTACCTGCATACATATTGAAATATTCGCTCACTCTCGATTGTATAACTATTTATTTGAAGATAAACATAACTTTAATAATACAAATTGATTTTCTATAAAACATGTCCGACCGAATGTGCACATCAGAGAAGCAGGGCCTTTTTTAACATACAAGCTGGGGGGGCAAATGCCCCCCCAGTCCCCCCTTGTGCCCCCCCCCACGAAATCACATTTTGCCCCCCCCAGGAAAAGTCCCTTTTTCCTAAAATTATACAAACAAACCAGCGAAGATTAACAAATAGATAAACGAAAAGTAAGTTTTAGGCTTTATCCTTTGTCCTTGTTTAACAAAATCGATTTAAATTGTTACGTTTCTCCACCACAAAGTAATGATAAATTATTGTTAATAATATTTTTATTTTTTGGATGCTCAGAAATCTCAGAATGCAGGAAATGGCACTTCCTGGTTTCAAATTTCAAATATTTTCTGGGGATTATCCCTCCAATAAGTAATGATAAATTACGGTTAATATTCTTTTTTACTTTTTGTGCATTTTTCCTTCTTTTATTTCAAATACAAGTATAGTTAGTATAAATTTTAGGGCAAATTTGGATGCTCAGAATGCAGGAAATGGCATTTCCATGCTTCAAATTTCAAAAATTTTCTGGGCAGTACACCCCCACACACGTGACCATTGCCATCCTCCTCTAATAAGTAATGATAAATTATGGTTAATTTTTTTTTTAACTTTTTGTGTGTTTTTTCCTTTATTTATTTCAAATACAAGTATAGTTAGGATAAATTTTGGAGCAAATTTGGATGCTCAGAATGCAGGAAATGAGATTTCCGGGATTCAAATTTCAAAAATTTTCTGGGGGAGTACACCCCCAGACCCCCCCCCCCATTCATGCGTGGTATATTGGCGATACATGTGGCCTTCAGCCATTGCTATCCCCCTCTTAATATATTATCTCACTGAAAGGTCCCTTTTCAAAAAATGCCCCCCCACGGGAAAATCCTTAAAAAAGGCCCTGCAGAGAAGAGAATCTCATTAATCTTTAACCAATCATATTTAGCGTTATAGAATTTGGCGGGAACTTATTATTCTTAACACTCCCACTTAATGAGTTCACGATAAAATGTGCATTCACTTATAAATTTAACTTCAACAATTAAATTACAATGTTCACACAGATGTAATCCCAATCAAGTCCCTTAACTTTTCATAACTTGATCTTGCTAATCCTTTTGTTAGTATGTCTGCTTTCATATCATCTGTTCGACAATATACTACATTGATCTCCTTCGACTGAACGCGTTCTCGAACGAAATGATGGCAAATGTCAATATGTTTTGTTCTATTATGATATTTGGCATTCTTCGCCAATTCTATTGTTCCTTGGTTGTCTTCGAAGATTGTTATCGGTTTTCTGATTTTAAATCCAACATCATATAACAGTCTTTGTAACCATATCGCTTCTTGCGTGGCTAAACTTAAAGCAATATATTCTGCTTCTGTTGAACTCTTCGCGACTGTCCTCTGCCTTTTGCTCGACCAACTAACTGTGCTATTAGCAACTTGAAATACATAACCTGATGTTGATCGACGAGTATTAATATTTCCTGCCCAGTCAGAGTCTGAATAACCGACTAGTGTAGGGTTTTCATCTGCTGAGTATTTCAGGCCATAATCTAAAGTTCCTTTAAGATATCGTAATACACGTTTCACTCCGATCCAATGATCTTTGCTAGGTTTCGCCATAAATTGTGAAAGTGCTCCCACTGCAGCTGAGATATCTGGTCTTGAAATCACTGAAAGATAGGTTAGGCATCCAATCGCTTGCTGGTATGTTTGTGTGTCAAATTTTTCATCCTCATTTGACAACTCTGAAAACTTTGTCCCAGGTTCCAGCGGTGTTGAAACCGGTTTACATGATTCCATTCCGAATTTGCTTAGGACTCGTTCCACGTAATTACGCTGACTGATTGTAGTAACTCTGGCTTCTCGATCTCGTTTAATCAGCATTCCCAATAGGTAATGAACTTCACCTCTGTCATCCATCTTAAATCTTTCGCTGAGCGCTTTCTTCTCTGAATTCAGCATTTGGATGTCGTTGGAAACTGGAATTATATCGTCCACGTAAACTCCCAGTATCACAAAACTTATTCGACCACCGTCCTTTTTAACCGATTTAACATAAATGCAACCATCTGCACCACTTTTTCTGTATCCTCTCGACTTTAAGTATCCATCGAGCGTGTCATTCCAACAGCGTGCAGACTGTTTGAGACCGTAGATACTTTTCTGCAGCTTACAAAGATAATCTGGTTTGTCTGGATCAACAAAACCTTCCGGTTGTTCCATATAAATGTCGCAATCAATGTCGCCATTTAAAAAAGCAGTTCGAACATCCATTTGGTGGACTTCGAGATCATATTCGTTGGCTAATGCCAGTAATGTACGTAAAGATGTATGTCTGGCCACAGGGGAAAATACTTCGTCATAATCAGCTCCTTTTGTTTGGGAGTATCCTTGAGCTACAACTCTCGCTTTGAAACGATCAATTGATCCATCTTCTTTCCGCTTTACCTTTAGCACCCACCGCGATCCGACTACATTTTGATCATCACGGGGAGGAACCAATTCCCATGTATCATTTTCTAGTAATGAAGAATATTCTGAGATCATCGCATCTTTCCATTCCTTCGCATACTTCCCATTCAGCGCTCTTTGGACACTTTGGACTCAACTACTGGACATGCATTGTCTCTGAACTTACTCGGAATCATACGCTGTCTTACAGGACCTAAATTTTTCACGTTTTCCATAAACCGCTCTTCGTATGTTTTCGAAGTAGATGGGGTTTCACTTTCTCCCACTGGTTCGTCGTTCTCGGGATTAACAGGCTGCTCCATGGTTTCATTCAAGTTAATGTTTGTTTCAACAACAGGATCAACTCTAAACTCATCCTGATCTTCGTTGAAGGTTTGATCATCAAGTTCATCATCAACTCTATCTAGATCAAATAACTCAACAGTTTGTTTTTCATCATCCGGAACTTCAATTCTCTCTTGCTGCTCGAACGCAAAGTCATTCTTTGGGTTCTCAAAATTATGAAATTTCTTCTCTAAGAATTGAACATCTCGACTTATCATGAACTTTCTTCTTTTAACATCATAAACTTTGTATCCTTTTGTGCCAGTAGGATAGCCAACAAATATAGCTTCATAAGACTTTTGGTCTAATTTTCTACGATTACTGTCCGGGATATGAACATAGCACATACATCCAAAGACTTTAAGATTAGAAACATCTGGTTTTTCACCGAAAAGGCATTCATTAGGGGTTTTGTCCTTTAATGCAACTGTAGGACTTCGGTTATGTAGGTACACGGCTGTATTGCACGCTTCAGCCCAGAAGACTAGGGGCAAATTTGCATGATATATCATGGATCTTGCAGATTCTAAAATCGTACGGTTTAATCTTTCTGCCACACCGTTTTGTTCAGGGGTGTAAGGACAAGTGAATTGTTGGACAATGCCCTTCTCTGTACAGAATTTGGAGAAACTGTTCGATTTGTACTCACCGCCGTTGTCGCTGCGCAGAATCTTCACTTTATTATGATTTCCATCTTGATTTTCAACATAATTCACAAACTCCTTGAATTTAGTAAGTGCTTCTTCATCTTTCTTCTTAATAAAGTAAGCAACAGCATATCTGGAATAGTCATCAGTAAATGTGACCAAATAACGGCTACCGCCAATCGACTCAACTTGCATTGGTCCACATATGTCAGTATGTATGATTTCATAAGGTCTACTTGCCCTATGTAGACTTGCTTTTGGAAAGGGATTCTTATGCATCTTTCCCATTGAACATCCTTTGCAATCTTTCCCCACTTGTTTACTTTCATCATACATCATTCCGGTGACCATATCATTCTTCATCAGTTGATTAACATATCCATTGTTTAGATGACCAAATCTCTGGTAAACCTTCGGACTAGTGAACCTTCGGACTAGTGAACCTTCGGACTAGTGAACCTTCGGACTAGTGAACCTTCGGACAAGTGAACCTTCGGACAAGTGAACCTTCGGACTAGTGAACCTTCGGACAAGTGAACCTTCGGACTAGTGAACCTTCGGACAAGTGAACCTTCGGACTAGTGAACCTTCGGACTAGTGAACCTTCGGACTAGTGAACCTTCGGACAAGTGAACCTTCGGACTAGTGAACCTTCGGACAAGTGAACCTTCGGACTAGTGAACCTTCGGACAAGTGAACCTTCGGACTAGTGAACCGTAACCGGTTAGCGTCCTTGCCTGCCCACAAAAAAGGCCCCACTTAGGATTTTTTAAATTTTTTTATTTAAAAAACACCCCAACTTTTATTGATCAACAGGCTCTAATATGTGTAGTCAATTTCTGTTGAACGTAGTCAACTGTGTTAATAAATTGTGAAATTATGTGCGAAAATGACGATACATATATTAATCATATTTTGAAATATATGAAAAAATATCTGTATTGCACAAGAAAATCCAGTTTCGGACCTAAAACCAAGGCGTTAAAAATTAGTAAAAATAAAAAAAACCCACCCGCCCGCCCACTTTTTGGCAAAACCTAAGGACGCTAACCAACTATTTTTTTATGTGGCCTTATACACACAAGTTTTGGTAGCTTTTATTTAGATAATTATACAAAACCATATTGTTGAATACCCACGAGTACCAGGTTGCATATAGCGATGTTTTGATTATCTATTTTTGGCTTAATTAATAGCGTGAATTTTTTCACAAGAAAAAAGTTTTATGTGATTTGAAGCAAATAAAGTCACTCTTAATAGTTAAAATGTGAAACTAAGCCAACATATTTAAGAACCAGTTGGGTTATTTTCGAAATCTGTGAGAATCCGTGAGATATTATTAACAACCTGTGAGCTCACTGTGGGGTTTTAGTAAAATCTGTGATGCTCACGGTGAGCTGACGGTGAGGGTTGGCAACTATATGCTGATATTAATCTGAAACAGTGGCTGACACTTTACAAAATATGGGGGACTCGTGCCAAAGACACAGGAAAATTTTAAAATTGGAATCCCAGAAATGGCATTTGCAGCATTCTGAGAACACATTTTGTAAAAAACTAGGTTTTCAAAACACTGTTTTAATTAATGGTGAATTTTGTTGTAAATCACATGCTAAAGATAGAAAACCAACATTTCAGAGAAAATATTTACCCCCTAGTATCCATCAAAAAGAGTGTATAAAATGTGTATGTTGTGACATGTACAGTACAGAAACATATATTTCCTGGTCCCGTCAATGCTTGAAACATGGACAGCTAACTGTGAATAATGCACAACACGTTTTTGAGAAAAAATTACCCATTGACTTGCAACACCCAGTGCATGGATATGCACACCCAACATTGGCAACAACCATGATATTAAAGTTAGTTATTCCCCAGTTCTATAATTTGCAAAACATCAGTGGCTAGTGGCTATTATGCTAATACAATCATGATTGTAGATTTTATATAGAGTGGCATAACTCACATAAGATTGCATTTGCTCAAATTAAATTATACTAATTGTAATTCAAAGACTGTATAATTATCATATTCTCTATATATTTATTTTTTCAGATCCTTTGCATCCATGGATACAGGTAAAGAATTCATCATTTATTATAAGTTCCCACCAACTCTGAAGTTTTTTAAATGAAGTGTAAGTTACACGTTTCATTAGTATATGGCTAGTTTTTGTTACTTTTTCACAGGCAAAGTGGAAAAATTTTTCGAGATAAAACAGGATCGTTTAGAAAAAGTTTAAAGAAACTACCTCTGGAATTTGGTACGTTTGGCTTAAGTTTCCCACTTTAAATTTCAATTTTTAGCCAAAACGTTGAAACATCAATGCATTCATTGTTATTGGCCGCTAGTTGGGGAGGAACAACACAAAGAGCAGCTGGAATTAAGGGGGACTACCATCGTCCTGACTGTACTTCAAACAATTAATATATAAATGAAAAAGATATGTACTTGTATGGATGAGTTAATACTTAGTTTAATATACAGGCATACATTATTTACAAAACACCTCTAATAACAGAATACTGCATGAATTCCTGCACCATGTGATTTTTGTCCTCACTAGCTGTCCTAGCTGTGCTGGGCAACCTGTGACCTACGACCTGTCACCTGTGACTGTCGTAATTTTCCCTTTCATTAGATTTTATTTAGACATTACTTCATATTGACAATACCTTACATGAAAGCGATGACTTTGCGTACTAAATGCGTACATACCTATATAATTATGATGCTTCTATGGAGAATAGCTAGTTCTAATCTTCCTCATGTTGCTCATGCAAATCACCATAGCAAAACAATTAAACAGATAATCATAATGGCTTATTGCATTTTTAATCCACACCCGCGAGCCGCCTATGGAGTACATCTATTTTTTGGACCCCCCTCCCTAGGAATTCCGCAGATGTTGATGAATTTTCAGCCTAGATTTTTCATGAATTTCTACTCATCCCTTGGAAATTCCACCGATGGTTTTTGACCTACTCTCTGGAATTTCCACATTTTTTGTTTTTAACCTAGTTATTTATCATTTGTTTTTCCCCTAGTTTATATTACTGCTCCCAATAGAATACCAAATGTAGAGGACGAAGGTAATTTCTGTTGCATTCGCTGTTTGTTAATACTATGTTAAAAGATTAGTATATCAGTTCTGTATTTCAAATGATGGGTTGAAGTATAGGTCGTCTTCGTTTTGGTATTTAATTTGCTAAGGGATTTTGTGGAGGTTAAGACAAATTTTCCCATTGATCTAGGGCCCCTATAGCAGTGCTATATTTGATAGGGTCCCTCAAAGGGCCCCATCCTTGAAGCAGGGCCTACATAAAAGTTAGTACAATTTAATAGGGTCCTGTTCCAAAAATTGATTTTTTGTACCGTCTCAACAGAAAAGCCTGGGCCCTGTCAGGTTGCGAGCCCAAGGCAAGTTGACCTTTTTGTCCCTGGACCTTTCTGAGATCCCTGATGGAAACCTGCCTCGTACCCAGGCGCTTTAAATAATTATACATGAAGTATTCAGGCATGCGACGCGCGAAGGGGCTGTTGGGAAGGGTGCGTCCAAGTGCACTCTTCCCATCAGCCCCTTCGCCCATCTCTCCCCACTACAATACTTCATGTAAACTCGTCATATGCGCATCACTGTTTTTTTACAAAGAGACGCCTGGGTACGAGGCAGGATGGAAACGATTTTAGAGCATTTTCGCTGAGGTAGCCGATCCTTTAACGAAGGTAGGCATTAGATCACAGAGGTAACGTCACTCCGTGGCTTGTACCATTGTCCCAGTGAGAACTCCCCACACAAACGATGTTACGAGTAATACTATATATGCATCAGGGCCGTATTTTTTAACGTGCAGTTCTACACAAAATAAACAGTTGTAAATCCATTTGTGCAGTTCTAGAAACATAAATGTGCAATTCAGAAAATATAATATATATGGATATATAAAATGTAGTTATCGAGTACCAATAATTTCTGGGGGAGGATCGGCCCCAGACTCCCCTATTTACTTCATAAATCACTTACGTGCTGGGCCGGCGGAAAGTAAAATTGTGGTGAGCCCTCAAAAGAGATTAGAATGGAAGAATTTTTAATATTCTTTGATGCTTTAAGGTTATTGAATATATATTAAGTATTCATGGTTCCCTGTTTCGTAGTGTGAAACAGTTTTTCTGGGTGCCTAAGCCATTTGAACCATTGGCATTGTCGTTTCTGCAAGTCTCCTGGTCCAGTTCTGGCCACTGACCGCGCTTCCTCCACGCGGAGAAAGGGAGAGCGCGGTCAGGGGCCAGAACTGGACTACAAGTCTCCCAGAACACAGGAAATGCCATTTAAGAGATACTAGATTTCAAAATTTTCTGGGGAAACATGCCCAGGGAACCAAACCATAGTATTATTCTGCCACCTATGCAAATTAAAATCTATTTCAGGTGAAATCCCCCCCGCCAAACACCAATGTGCAGTTCTAACTGCAAACAATCACTAAAAAATGTTAAATGATCCGGCGAATCGTAACTCCACCAGGACCATCAAACATTTTCTTGTGTGAACCACGGCAACTAGCCAATACTAGGCGAAGCTAACTTAGTCCCGAAAGCCAACCCTAACTCCTGTCAAAACGGGTGAAACAAAACGAAACACGTTAGGGGCCCCAAAATCTAAAGACACATCGAAGGGGCCCAATGTTTTGTTTTCAACCCAACAGGTATCAATAAATGCGCGAGCGTGCGAGCACTCCTCACATGCACCTTTTGATTTTTGCAGGCATATTTAAAAATACTGACATTTTAACAATATTTAGGTCACAAGATCTAAATAAGATATGTTTTGCAGGCACATTTTGAATTTCGCTCGCAGGCACGAAAAAATGTTAATGAGGCCTTCCCCCAAAGTCCGACATATCGGTCGGAACGGCCGATCTATATTCGATTTTACATTTACATGTGATATTGTTTAATTCAGAACAATATGGTTGGTGGTTTTCTACAGAAGAGAATACTTATGATCCATTAACAAAATCTCGTTATTGTAAAGGATATGAAACAACAATCAACTCCATACGGGATGTTTTTCAAAAACAGGTTTGTTTATTTTTTTATGCCATTTGCAATCAATGTTCTTCAATAAAATGTGATCATAGTACCTTATCGTTATCAATTTTTTCTACCTATAGGGTCCGTTTGATGGTAAGCACCAAGTCTCTTAATTCGTTTATAATTTCTGATTGGTATTAAAATACGTTTGATGATTATGGCCACAATGTCATCCGCCGGGAGTACTTTATTTAAAGAAAATGGTAGCTGTGAAGGTCTACAGTCTTGTTTCATTGAATAACCTGGATCGATGGCTTGTAGAATAATATAATATATATTCTCTTTCTGAGAGATCAGTACCTAGCATCAGGGGAAGTTGGCGTGTACGTGACGTCACACATAGGTTCCACGTGTTCACATGTTAGCTTCAGAACGACATGAACTATAATGTCTATAAGGTTTCTTCTATAAGGCTGTTGGCAATCTATTGTGTATTTGACAGTGTTCCACACACTGAGCTCTGTATATATCTGGAGCGAGAACTCGAGTCCAAAAAGCGAAGCCAGTTTCGTGTCAACCGCGCAGTCAAATACAATAGAAAGCACTGGAACTGACGTCCAATAGCTCCTTCAATTTCTGCCATCTTGGCAAGGAGTGCGCTGAATTTCGTCTTTTGTCATCGATTTAAAGAATAACACTATGGTTTTATGAACTGATAACTTGGGAAGGAAGGGAAGGGGGGAATGCAATGGAACGTTTGTCGAAATCATACAATGTCGAAAAATTTTTAGAACCACTGAGTATTTTAATAAAATACAAAACAAGTGAAACTCCAAACATCGATAATATTTTTATTTATCTACGTTTCGACTATATTTCAGGACTTCATCATCAGGATAAACTAGCTAGATTTTATATCAAAAGCAGCATTTATATGAAGAAATATGATACAATCATTAGGTTGATTATTAATGAATTGATTAAATTCTTTGAATAGCGAGGGATTCTTGATAGAGCAAAAGGGACCAATTGCAATGGTTAGGTAATAATGATAAATCTAACCATTGGTCCCTTTTGCTGTATCAAGAATCCCTCGCTATTCAAAGATATAAACCTGAACTTAATCATGCATGGACTTAAAGCTTCTAAAGAACTAATCATATTTAATGAATTCATTAATAATCAACCTAATGATTGTATCATATTTCTTCATATAAATACTGCTTTTGATATATAACCTAGCTAGTTTATCCTGATGATGATTGAAATATAGTCGAAACGTAGATCAATAAAAATGTTATCGATTTTTGGAGTTTCACTTGTTTTGTATTTTATACAATGTCGCGCCACCGTTTTATATTTTTCTTCATGTTTAGGAATATTTTCGTTCAGTCAAGGAGCGTCTCTAACGTCACTTCTGTGTGCCATGAACGACGAAGAAGGTGAATAGCTTCAATACTATAATCTTTTAAATATAAAATCTTCCATATATAAGCCCATCAGTGGCAGGTATTGGACCCTTCAATACCGCCTGTTTATACTGGTTGCCACGCAATCATTGCCTCGTTTCCATGCTTACATTGTCACAATAGCCAAGTTAGGAATGCAGTTAAGTTATACAAAAATGTGAAGTGGTTAGTAACGGGGAGGTAAACATGCATGGATGTGATGTTGAAAAATGCTGCAAAACTTATTTTCTTCATAATCAGACATTCACATATAAACGAAGATTAGAATGCATCATCTATATATGTCTGAAGGGGGAATTATTACCATCGTGCTGATTACCCGAACATGTTCACTTACAGGTCGTTAAATCGCAAATATTTTTATATCGTTTGTCATTTTGTTTACTGTTTAATAAGATACCTTAGGCAGATTAGCTGAATTATGGGAATTTTTACACGGAAACGGTTTATAACTCTTACTTATACTTTACTAGTGCGCTCTTAATGTAATTTTTCTGGTTTTATTAGGTTCAGTTATAAATTTCAAATTTGCAATAATGGTGGCAGGCTTCAGGTCACGATCTACACAACACGATATGTTTTATGAAAACCGCATCAAATGTTCAACTCTTCACGTATATGGTGAAACTGATCAAGTTATACCAAAAGGTAAATTGAAATTTAACAATATTTTGTTTTAGCTGCTGGAAATCCTTATTAAAAGTTGCATTCGTGTAAACACGAGGTTATTATCTACCCAAGATCTCACAGCTACGGCTGGAACTTTGTCTTAATTAAAAGGACCAAAGAGGTTTGGCCATCTAGTACAAGGCTAACTAAAGATTCCGTGTAACCGTACTTTCAAAAAACGTTCCCGCTATGCTTCTCCCTTGGGCTCTAAACCACCACGTCCGTAATTTCTCCAAACATACAGTATTACAGTATGTAGTTTGAGAACTCGTTTCGACATAGCCCAACTGAGGAAGCCCGTCCTAAGCGGACGTCGCTATATATGCAGGCATGTGTTATATAGATAACATGAAACAATGATCTTGTTACATTCATTTTTAGAAAATAGTGTGAAACTGGTGGAATATTTTGACAATCCTGTCACACATTGTCATCCTGGAGGTTGGTAAATCAATGATCAGCCAGCTCGCCTTTACCCAAAAGAGCCAGATGTGTGTTTATACCCGGCGTGGTCACCTAATTCGTGTAATATAAAATTGAAATGCTTGGTTGTATTTGTTCCCATTTATGCTTACATTAGATAGTTTGGCAACATTTCTATATGCGAGCAAAGCATACATTACTAAACTTTATTTGCCTCTTCAAAATACTCATCTTTCTTTACAAACAAACTTTAAGTAGCGATAGTCAACGAATACACATAGTCAGAAAACACTCCAAACGACTTCTGTAACTTTGGCGTGGTTACGAGGCGTGAAAATAACGTAGCAGTTAGTTAGCAGTTGAACAACTCCGCCGTACTAGAATGCCCAAGGGAATACAATTTATAGTCGCCCGAGTTCTTAAAGTGAAATAAGAAGAGTAAAATTCTGTTGTTGATAATCACGTCTTCATTGACATTGCCGTTGTATTTGCCGAACTCACTATTATCATATTAATAGCGGTACCTAGGCGTGTGAAGGGATGTGGAGGCATGTGAAGGGATGTGAAGGGATGTAGAGGCATGTGAAGGGATGTGGAGGCATGTGAAGGGATGTGGAGGCATGTTAAGGGATGTGGAGGCATGTCGGTTTTCTGAAGATGTGAAGTGGGTGGCACCGGGCACAAACATGCGTTGGCTGGCTAAGCTCAAGTAATGAAGAATTGCTTGACATATGAAAGCTGTTCCTTTATTGACTAATTTTTCAATTCATTCACAGGTCATTTTGTTCCAGCTTCTTCACAGCACAAGCAAGTGTATGTTGACTTTATACAGAGATTCCTATCTTGATTCTCAAAGTCGGAAACCCAGATGTGTTTATTCCGAATAACGTAGGAGTGTAGGACATGTTTTTAGGTAAGATATACAGGCATATGGTTACATCTACACACCCGAAATTAGAAATCAACGAAGTGGACTAACGAAGATGTGACATAGGAATGGAGATTCTTGAATATTTTAAAGGAAAATTTCGCCTATACGCTTTTTGGTCCACGAACCCCGGTTATGACCGTTACCACAGCTACAAAGTTGTATAACAAGCAATAGACTTGTTACAAGCTGTTGTCGATGCAGTTTGGAATACAACCATGTGGCAGCTTAATGGTAATCCAGGAAATCGAAGGCCCGTTGTTATCGTGTGATTGATACTTCGTAAGAGTTACGCGAGAGATATGACAAAATGGTGATTTTTAACACTGATAACTGATTTTCTCCGAATGCACATCTCACGAGAGATTGTGATTCTGGGTCTTAAATTGAAAAATTATAAAAATATGAACAAAAATGGAAACGGTCATAGGCTTTATTATTTTTATAAAAATATACTAATGCTAACATTGCGCAATAGATTTTAAAATTCCATTCAAATAAACAACAATTATTTACACTGTGAATTAACATCACTACAATCAGTGTTTTAGCGAGTCTAAGCTTTTACCCAATATATAAGATTACTATTAATGGTTAGTTCTGGTTACTTTATTCTCGGTGTTATCCAGCAACCCCGCTGCTCAGACTTGGTGATCTTGTGAACTGGTAAAAATAACGATACGAATATATTTAAGGAAAGGGCGAAATTATACGAAGCTGTACTCAAGGGCGTAACTTGAGTCTTTGGGAAGGGGGATTCACATTGAAAAAAGGGTGTGGTCAGAAACGTACGTCAAGATACTGGGCCTAGGGACGATGATATGAAGGTACAACTATCGAGTGCCAAACGCAGGAGACCCCTGCGGGTATGGGGGTATACTCCCTCAGAAAACTGTGAAATTTAGAACATTTCAAGCACGTTGGTGGAAGATTTTACCGAATTCTGATGGTCAGAAAACTGCTCTTGTAGGTTTTCTTGTTCATTCATGATTTGAATGTATTTTTGCCCAACAAATTATTTAATATTTAATATATTTGCCCTACAAAATTGCTTTTCTCCCCCCCCCCCAGGATTCACGCCCTTGACTGTAGTACAGAATAGCTATTAACTTGAGGGTTTCGTGTGTGCCACAGTCCCCACATGTACACCTTTGAATGAGAAGGTCACTGGGTAATTTGGTTTTACGGACACCACTGGGATGGTGAATAAGACTTAAAGCGATTTAAAATACTCATTAAAGGCCATAGTACATGCCCGAGGCAATTTTTGCTGCAACGTGCAACGCAATTTTGGACATAGAGCCGTGTTACGTTAAAACGTATTAACAGTAAATCATGCAGTAAGCATGGGCTCAGTTATACTTCTCATTCATTTCTCTTTTCTCTCGGCTAAACGTACCATATGGTCAAGATGGTAAACTTGATTACTTAGATGCATTTGTATTTTAATTAATATACAGCATTCGCAAACGATCTTGAAAATTAGATACAGAACGGCTGCTGATGCCATCAGATAATTCGAGTCTAAAAAGGTAGTTCAGCGCTTTACTCTGAAAACGTAGTGTAAATTATTACCTTGACTGACTCTGCCCTGAAGTTGTTCCCTGTACATCACCAGATGAACTTGTCGTCCCAGGAACTTGAGCATCAGATGTTGTAGCTTGTCCTGCACTTTCAGCTCGGTCATGAAGCTAAATAAAGTTATTCCTTGAATTGGTATTTTATATCGAGAGAAATGTTCCATGTTTTCCTTATATACCCTGTAAATTACTCTGATTTGGAATGGAAATATTGTATTTTTCGAAACACAGTCAGAATAATATTCAATTTAAATGGTGCCCTTATTAGTTATTACTCGCCTCGCGAATTACAAATAGCGCTGTATACGTTTGGAAAAAACCTGTGGTGTTTGGCAAACTGGAACCACTGTTCTCACAAGTGAGCGAGGCAAAATTATAATCAGAAATGGCATATATTGCAGAATCGTATTTCAGTGACGAAGGTGAAGGCGCATGCATTATCCACAATAACATCCCCAACGGCAAGTATCCCCTGAGACGATAATAACTCTTATATCACATTTGTGTCGGTTTTCTTTGATCGTCCGAGGTTTATAACTAGCTTATATACCTTCAATAAATTATTAGATTAAACTTGTAGACAAAACGCGAGAATTTTTCATTAAAAATTTTTGAAAATGACAAAATATGTTAGAAAACCTCCACAAATGTGATATAAGTTAGCTATAAACCTCGAAAGTCGGTTTATAACTGATATATTGCCCTCGGACGCTACGCGTCCTCGGGGGCAATATATCAGTTATAAACCTCCTACTCGGTTTATAACTCTTTATAACGCCAGCGCGATAATTGGGGGGCGAATATTCATATCTTCGTGTTCTGCATTATTAACTTCTTTTGAAATCCATCGTTTTATGGTCTGGCCCCCCCCCCCCCCAATTATGGCGCTGGCGGCGCCACTGCTCTTACTGGAATGTCTATCACTTTCATGAATTAATTTATTTTGTCGTGCAACAACATTCTTCACCCAGCACATCCTTAAAGAACCGCAGCCAAATGCGACCTTGGTTAGCTGTTCTTAATGCTTTCCCAACACTATCATGTATATGGCTTTTCAAAATTCTCTATTCTGATTGGTTGACAAGCAGTCCGTAAAAACCCATATCCAGACCGTGGTCCGTATTTTCCGTATCTGGATCGGTTTCCCGGATGTCGTTTATCTGGCGGGAAATTTTTGCTTTGCAAACAAAAATATTTTGCTTTTTAATTTTCCAATTGTGTGTCATTAAAATTTAGAGATAAAAATTTCAAACAACCAAATTGTTTTTGATTGAGCATGCATGCCTACCGTATATTGTTACCCAGTGAAACTGACGATAGCCGATTTAATTCGCGCAAAAAGCATATGCTCACAGACTCAGTTCCGCCATATAATAAACCGATTATTGACCTCGCTTGTTCGGTGTGTACTGTGAAATATCAGACCTCTGTTTTTTGCATGGACCTCGCTCCTTTGTCGCTCGGTCCCAGTGAACTATATACATGTTATATAGTTCAGTGCTCGGTCCATACTAAAAAACCTCGGTCTGATATTTCACAGTACAGACCTCACGCTCGGTCGATAACCCTTTATTATAGGCTAAAACATAGTTGGAACACTCATCAAAACTTTATTTAGTTAATCTAGAGCTTGAAATGTCCCCCGTAACAATGCGTGACTGTCATCAACTCTTATCCTCGTTTGACCGGGGCTTAATGTCTCACATCTTCCCTATAGGTTGGAGGTTTCGATGACATGTGGTAACCGCCAATTCAGTTGACAAAAGCATCCCTTACCTCATGCATATAGAGCATACTAGAGTTCATTTCTTCCTCCATTCTTAATCTTTCTTCTACACCAGTGTGGTCAATAGTACTATGACTGGTAGACAGTAGTGATTGCGACATCTGCGGTAGAGGAGCAACTGGGGCCAGGGATGGTAGACCTGTGGACTAAAATAATATGAATGTCAAAACAACATCTAATATTCCCCAATATAAGATTGTCTATAATCTGATCAACACTAACTCAGTAAGTACTATGACTGGTAGACAATGATTGTGACATGCATCTGCAGGGGTTCTTTCAGGGATTTTTTAGGGCCGTAAAACGGCCCCAAAAACTCAATCTTGAATTGAGTTTTGAAACTCAATCTTCTCATCAAAAGATTCTGTGCAGTAAAATGAAGTTGTTTGAGTTAAATTCATGACGTGTGCAAATTAGGTTTTAGTTGAAAACCCAAAAATTAAGTAAAAAATGGCTGGAATTCATTTCACAACACAATTACGCATTCACCGTCTTTAACCAGTTTATAGTGTCCCTTAGTGCCCCTGCTTTAACACATTGTATCTCAACTACACTAAAGTGGGTACAGGTTTTAGTCCCCAGTGGGGAGACAGCCGCATCAGACCCCCAGCTATTCAGCTAAACTCAATCTTCTCTGCAAAAACGGACCCAAGAGAAAATCCTGAAAAAAACCCTGATCTGATATAGGAGCAACTGATGCCAGAGATTGTCTATGGTCTAATCAACAGTAAGTACTGACTGGTACACATTAATGATTGGGGCATCTGATACTGCCAGGGATAGAGATGTAGGGATGAGGGATGATAGAGATATAGGGATGTAGACTAAATATATGAAGATTTAATATTCTCCAGTGGTACAACTGTACTACAGTACACTGTTAAAATATTCCTGCTTAACCTAGAACTTAAATTTCCTGGTTATTTTATCTCATTGCCTGCCATAGTCTGGTTAATTAATGAAACCAGGAATCTCGTTATATTTGACCAGGACGTCCTGGTTAAAATAACCTGACTGTGTTAGGTGGATAAATAACCAAGGGTCCCTAAGTAACACCGCGGTCAAACGCATGCACGAGTATACGGAATAATATCTGCCAAAATAATAGGAGTAAATATGGGAAAAGAAAAGCGTTTACTATAAGGAAACGGCTGAAGCTATAAGGTAGGGAATTTCATTGCTTTTTCCTTGTGTCAAGAAGAGGTTACACTGAAATTAAACTCGTAATTTTCTTTAAACCTTTTGCTAGAGCTTCGCGAAGACAACACTATTTCCAGTCTTACGAGTACAAACAGTCAATACGCAGATGTTTGAGCGCAGTGTTCCTCTGAGTATAGTTGCGGTCAACACACTTTGAACAAAGACAATCACTGATGCTAAACGTCTTTACTTACTTGGAGTCTGGATGCCAACATAGTTTCATTTTGAGCTCCAGTAAAACTTGTTTGTAAACTTGGGTACGAATCCTTGGCGGCTTTGAAAAGAATAGTATAGTGATAATAAATTACGTTAGATTCAATGTTTAGAGCGGGAAAAGAATGGTGCTTGAATGTACACGTTTTCACACTTTGCGGTACAGTGCATGTGGAATATAACAATTTCGCTTGGGTTTGACAAATGTCCAATCAACTGTGCAGTTGCTTGGTCTGCCAGCTTTTCAATACTTAGATAGCTCGTGCTCATCACTGCCCACATGATCAATCACATTACTTTGGTAAGCAGTCCCAACTGTTTTCAATCTTTTTGCATGTCTGGTATACTAACAATGGTCAAATTTGTGACGTGATTTCGTTGCCTGTCACAGCGAAGCCATGGAAACGTTTTGTGTCCCTTCTCTTGCTTTCATGCTTTTTGAACAGTACTGATCAAATAATATACTTTTAATTTATTTGAATGTCCGTGCAATTAATCGACCATTTAATGTTTCTTTTCGGCAAATAGCCGATTGCCGACCGTTATAATCAACGCTGTTTCTGCTGATTTGTTTTAGAAGCACGTGGTCAACTCACTAGCGTGTTGGTACAGCCCATTCATGACAACCGAATCCAGGGACGCCGGAACGATGTGAAGGCAGGGGGGGGGCAGATTTTCGTGAAAGGGCACTTTTGAATTGATATATACTAAGAGATGTTTGCAAAGCATTGGGAGTTGAACTTCGCCTAATCATGTTTTCTATTTATTGGATGATAGGGGTGTGGAGGGGGTTATCCGCCAGGCGATTTTGCTATCCTTGAAGCTCGATGACTGCAATTCTTGCGTTTTCTGAAGCAAATTCGTAAAAGAATTCCACTAACATTTCTGACAATTCGCCATGGCGATCCTTTAAATTAAAAGGGCACCTTTGCCCCCCTTGCCCTTCCTGGAAAAGCGCAACGGGGGCGGCTGCCCCTCCTGCCCCCCAGTTACGGTGTCCCTGACCTAATCTTACAAAGATTTAAATTCACTGCCTACCATTTTCTTTGATTGTACTCATGAACTGAGCTTGAGATTGTGGAGGTTTCCATTGCGGGTTTTTTATCTACAAAGAGAGCATGATGACGTCATTGAGCGATGCTGAATTTTGCGAGTCGCCACCAACCTATATGAACGGGCTTTGTGATTACACTGACCACGTTTGTTTTATGAAGCCAATCACAAAACACGATCATTTTAGGTTGGTATTTATCAGACTTTTCATTTCAGGAAATTTATTGGCTTACGTCACATTCTCCGAAACAAACCTACCGAGAATTGAAGTAAAGATAGTTCTGTTTTTCCATTTTCTGCTTGTTCGTATTGACTGGCAGCAGTCAAACCATGGGACATCCACTAAAGAAAGACAGGATAGCATTCAACACTGTACGTCAACTGAAGATGTTGGACGAGTGGATAAGTTATGAATGCATGTAGCCATGTTATGAATCACCGCGAACCCGATCCGCAATTCTGTGCGCTTCAAATTAAGTTCGTGTCATTGCATTAATATTAAGGCCAAGAGCACCTCAAGTCGTTTAAATGTGAACTGCTATAACGTCAGCCTATATTGGGAAAGTGTTTTTCTAGAGTACGTCAAATGCTCCCTAAAGAGAAATGGTAGCACCCATTGGTGCTTTCTTGGAAATTTCGAGTTTTGAGATGTTCTTACATAGAACTTCTTGTATATATCTTTGATCCGCAGATAGGTTAATTTGCACTTATTGTCTGGACGTGTTCTTGCCAAAGTTAGACATAGGATAATTACCTTACATACTTTTTATCATTATACATCTGTGGGTCATCTGCAACGTTTTGGCCAGGATTGTAGGTTGAGAAGCTATTACTCCTCAACTACTATAACTTTCTGACGAACAGACGCAGGGACGTGGCTCGAAACGTGGAGTTTACGAAAGCTAGGCAGTTTAATATATGGACAAATTCATACATAAACTTACTTCTGGATTTCCATGTTTTCGTACGTCCATCTGAGCAAATGAACAAACATCTCCCACGCCAACAACCTCCACAGTAAAATTACGAAAGAAATCGACAATATCTAAAGCTTTGTATCGTATACTAAAGCACAGTAGAAATGGTGTGACCAGGGCACTCACGAGTTCTTGAAGGACGAAAACCTAAAAAGAACATAGACAATATTTTATTTAATATTGATTTAAATTGCTTTGTGTCTAATTTCTGTGACAATACATAGATTCGTTAAAGAGCTTGCATGCCCAGAGTGTAGTTTGTATTTGTAGTAAGCTTGCCAAAAAGTTGTAACAATGTTGTTAGTCTGTTAAGTTGCTACAATTAGGTTGCCATGCCTCAGTACTTGTCAACAAGTTGTTGGAATGGAGGACAATAACAAGTTGTAGGAGGAACAACTTGTGCTTGAATTACTGGAATTGAATCAACCTCGTACCCAGGGTCTGCCCGGCCGATTTTTTAATATGGCCGCAAAATTAAATTGAATGTGAACGGGATTTGTTCGTCCAAAGATAGGAAAATCTTTAACTCAATACCCTTTATACAGTAGGTAATGACGTAAAAAGCGAATTACTTACGGCTTTGTATTCAAACAGCTGTTGAAACTCTTGAAAAACCTCGAGTAAAAAATATAAATGTATGATTAGCGCGATAACGCAAGTTTACGAATTATATCTTCCCTCTTGAAAATTCATCAATTCCAGTACTAATAATTACCTCATTTGTGTGAGCTTTGGTCTTCCATTCATCAGGAATATAATGAATATGAATTAGAACTTGTCTCAGCAACTGTTCAGGACACCAAATCAAGTTCTAAAGAACAAGGGTGGAATACTGTTTGAAAATGTTCGTGTGAGGAAACCAGTACATGCAGCCATGGTTGTCTGACCTTAACACTACCAAAGACAAATGGTGACCGTCCCCATATAGGCAGCCCAGCAAATAATCCGTTATCCTTGCAACAAACATAGTCGACGTAAAATATGTCTTGAACAATTAAACGTTTAAATTAAAGTGATTCTGAAGTTGCCATCCGGCGATTTATTTGCGTATCTAATTAGGTATGCAGATTGTGCAGTTGCATGGTTACGTCATAGTATATCGTTTTTATATTGAAATCTATAAAGTCGGCAATTTTCTGCTAATAATACACCTGCACACATGCCGAAATTTCGACACAATTCAGGCGGCGAGCAGGCTACTGCACACATTAATACTTCACTTCAAACAAGAAAATTTCAGGTGAATGTACTAATGTGTGTTGAGGTGAATATTGTAAATATCAAACGCGCATGCTTAAAAAATTTATCCAATTTACCTCACCCGGTATAAATGCATAACAAATTCTTATAATAAGACCTAAAAGTAAAAACAAATGTACATTTAGCTGCGTAGCGTGGTGATAGACCAACCTGATACTCAGGGTTTTCACTTCCGCTACCCCCCGAAACCCACTGCAGCAGGTTTCGGTGGGGGGGGGGGGGGGAGGGCAGCAGGTAGCGAAAGTAAAAACCCCGAGTATCAGGTTGGTGATAGACCTAATATACAGTAATAAAACACGTGAGTTAGTGACTATTTCAATTCCCATTACTTTATTAGTATTCTTAAGTTGCAACTACTTGCAGTGAGCGCTATATATATCTGGAGTGAGAACTTCAGTCATTCCGCCTAAGAAAAAAGTGAAGCCAAGATGGCGGCCGTTGACGTCCAGTAGCTCTGAAGGTCGTAAACAGTTTTCCAGCTAATTCCAGTTTTTCGTGACGGACTGTATTCAGTTCATAAAACCATAGTGTTATTCTTTAAATCGATGTCAAAATACGAAATTTCGGCACACTCCTTGCCAAGATGGCGGAAATTGAAGCCGCTGTTGGACGTCAGTTCCAGTCCCTTTTTATTGTTTTTGTCTACGCGGTTAACACGAAGCTGGCTTCACTTATTGGACTCGAGTTCTCGCTCCAGTATATATAGAGATCACTGCTCCTATGTTGGTGGTATTTCAAAAAGGAATCTCATTATCTTTCATTGAATTTGGCGCCATTTTATTGTTTTTAGTTCTCAAGGGACTGGCTGCAAGTCAAGAAATATCTGTGGAAATACATAGTCCTTATCTCTGCCACTACTGCCAGAATATTTCCAGAAATTTTGACAAGGAAAGAACCGCCATGAATACTTACAACGTTTAAAGAGAATTCCATAATTATTATTCCAACATACAGTTAAATAATGACTATCTAGACTCAATCAGGGTTTGTTTGATTTAAAGAAAAACTTTATTTGCAGGATCTATCTGAGAATGTATTTCGATATATTACACTGTACTAAATAAATATTATTACTCTTATCCCGTAGTAGATCAGAGGTTTAAAACCAACAGCATAATATTCTCTATTTATAAGAAAAGTAAATCTTACCTAAACTAGCTATAGTTGTTAACATATGTTCTGCTCTGAAAACATCTTGATCGTAGATTGAAAGACATGTCAATACAGCGAAAAATGAACCTGCAACAAACGCTATGTTCCTAAAGAAACAATAGTTAAGAGAATGATGAGCTAGGTTTAATAAAAATATCAGGATCTTTATCTCACTCGATAGAACAAATTGTGGAAAGATTTTGTAGATGGACATATCGAGTGTAAATTTGATATATTTATCAGACCTAACCAGGAGTAGAGCTCGACAACTCATGGACTCTGTTGGTTAGAACGCTGCACTGGAATCGCGCTATACTATCATTATTGTACAAGATGCACTTTTCGTACTTCAATGCACAAGTCAAGAATGAAATGAGTATATTAAATACATTACTTTGATATAATGGCGAGAAAAGGCGAAGTAAAAATGTTCGTGTATTGAACGGCAGGTTCGTAAGCTTTGTTCAATCTGAAAGAAAAGCACAATGTTTATTAAATATATAGTAGTAAACAACAATAGTAAATAAAAGTTGTTCATGGAACAACTTGTGACAAAAAGTACACTTCTATGTCCATTACAAAGGCCAGAGCGAGCTTGGCTTGTTCCGGGCCTTGTCTGCTACAAGGGCCCGAGAGAAGATGGCTTATTCCACATGAGTGCAGACCTGAGCACACATGTTCTAAGAAAGTAATAAGGCATACACTGTATACCTTATTTGAAATTCATGATCTAACTCGTTGAAATGTCTCAAAAAAAGACGACCATAATGTGACCTGCAATTATTAAAAAAATGATTAAACAAACATTATAGGGCACTACACTGTATAACGCACCATATTATGACCTAATGGACGTTCTCAGATGAAGAAGGTTATTTTAAGCCCTTTTATTACACATGTATACGTATTATTTTTGTATTTGGTGGCAAACTAAATAGAAGAGACAGTATAGTTTAATTTGCTCGCTTCTTCAGAACACCCCTAAAGTCGACCATGGTGGTACCGCTGTAATATTTGCTCAAACCTAAAAATAGTAATGCGGGCTGTTGAAATAGTGAATTGTCTTCCGTCTCAACATTAAACTTTCTAACCAAAATTGATGGAAAAACATACTAATTACTATTGTTTCCATTTGCTTGCGATGTCAACGATCTTAGATTGTTAAATTTGAGAATAAAATCATTACCAGTGCCGCGCGCCAAATGTACCAGGAGATCTTTTTATCATCTGCAGTAAGAAAATAATGATTTAGATCATTTCTGTGGTCAGTCCCTGTATGTCAGTACGTATTATATGTTTTTTTGTTGTGTGTCGTTTTCGTACACGCGTAAATCGTTCGTTGGGTGGCGAATTTTGTAAATAAAAAACAAATTACATTGCTGTGAATCAGTTTGTCATCAGTCTCCTCGCTGATGTAAACACTTTAAAGTGCCCGCTTTCCTTGGTATTAAAAATACTGCATGTTATTCCTGCAACAACTTGCAAGGTTTCGCCTGTAAAAACTTAATCCGGCCTTTACCGCCTGATAGTTTCAGCAAATATGAAACTAATGTTATTCCGAAAAAAGTATGCATTTTATCAACACATCTATTTTAAAAACTGTATATTTCGAATCTATTTTGATTCATCTTCAGCACTATATTTCATCTTGTAAAGATATAATGCTGAAGATGAATCAAAATAAATTCGAAATATACAGTTTTTAAAATAAATGTGTTGTTAAAATGCATACCCTTTTCGGAATAACATTAGTTTTAACAACTTATGCCAGTTACACTGTTATCCGGTACAGTCCATGCATGGACAGTAGAGCAGCATACCTCTGCATAGCTGAAGAAAGAATACAAGACTTGCCAAGCAAAAATGAAAGGAAGTAATGCGAAGTTTAACACACCAAGCCAGAGTATTCGTCTAGCAAGCCTAAAAGAAGGGCAGAATAATAAAGTCATTTGACAAATAATAAATACACATTGTGCATGTAGTTGCATTAAGTTGTTTTGCACCCTACTTCAGTATAGTATATTCTGTCTAACGCCAGACGATTTTACTCCTCAAGGGGACAGCGTTGGCGCTCAATGGGTTAAAAGCCTCTTATCAATTGGGACCTTGATCCTGTAACCTCTCCCGTCACTTCGTCTTCGCGTTGTTGTCTACAGAGTTTTGTACTTATTTTATTTCAACTTATTTGTATTTCAGTATTTGTACTTTTGTTTGTGACGTGACCAATCTTTATTAAACTAAACTAAACTTACTTGTCGGCCAGTTCTTGTCTTTTAGACGAAGATTTATATTCAGGTTTTAGTTTCCATGAATCTTGAAAAGGGGCATCCGGTCCCCAGAAAAGTATTAACTTCAAATTATATTTCATTCCTTCCGTCAAAAATGCTCGTTTTCCAATAATGGGGAAGCTATAAACACACGATAGGACGCCTTTGTTTTGCATGGCAATAAGATAGTTCTTCCATCTCAGAATTCTATGATATATATCTAACTCCGTGAGTTCAGCTTTGTGGACACACATTTGATGTTCCTTTTGAACGTCAATTAATTTTTGTTGCACGTCTTTCCATTGCATATTTGCCAGCTTGTCCTGAAACAGAAAGGTCGAGTATTGTTATGATAATTGACAATTATTCACCGAAAGTGGAGATGAATAGTGCAAGGATATTTACCGAAATTTTGCATTTCAATTGTAAAACAATAAACAAAACTTTGTGGTTTTCTTCGTGTTTGTGGTTTTCTTCGAGTACAAAAATTTTCTCGTCTGTATAAACCGGAACGAAACGGGAAGCCATTTTGTTTTGTCCAGAGGTGAAGAGTGTAAGGATATCTGAAGCAACCAATCAAATTGCGCGAAAAGCGCTATCCACCACCCGAGTACAGTACATGCTAATTTATAATAATCTTTTATGTTTTTCTGTGTATTTTTAAAATAATGAATGTGTAATGCTTAACCCAGTTTAAAATAATGTTATTAACCAGTTTTTAATGCTTAACCCAGTTTTATTTTTTTAACAGCTTAACCCAAGTTGCATTGCGCCCTAATGCGCCCTACTGTACTTTCTTATTTTATTCTGTCTAACACCAGACGAGGTTACTTGTCAAGGGGAGAGCGCTCAGTGGTTAAAGCACCTGAATAGCATATAACGAATGATCGGAATACTGTGGATGAACTCAACTTCTCTAAATTGACTCCACTGTGTCCAGCTGTCAGTCCCGGGTCGGTATATCTGTGTCTCGGTGGAGTCACAGAAGTTAACTCTGTGACATTTTCTACTATTCAAATGGAATAATTTACTAGATATCCCGCCTTCGCCCACCCTCAAGCAATGTTGGACGTAGTACAATTGCCTTAACTGCAATGGTGGGGTAGGGACGGTTTTTCTTAATTTACAACAATATTACGAAAGTTGGTCAAATAATTGGAAGTATTTTGACCAGAATTGCAGGCCTCGATAACCAGATGGGTAGTTGGGGCTGTTTCACCGGTCCCTTAGTGCATACGTGCATTGTGCAAGCAGTTCATAGCTCTAGTATTATGTACCAACCTCAGTAATATGAAGTGCATCTCTATAAAATGATTTTATTTCCAATAACTGGAAAAAATACAAGAAGACTTTTGCTACTCGAACTGCCCAAAAGAGAGAAGCTATAAGAAGGAACACGACCATCACACCATTTGCACTAAAAACAAACAAAAAGCACCGTGGGAAATGTGTACAATGGAAATGTATGCATGTACAAGACATGCAGTACTTAAATTGTCATTGGAAGTTGAGGAAGAGTTCATGTTAAAGTGGTTCTAATTAATGGACGACTTGCGCTTTAGACTAAATTTTAATCTAAGTAAGAACAACGAAATCTATCACCACAGCTGGAAAGAGCGTCTTGGAATTAGTAATATTACAAAGTTTGGTTGCCAAATGTTATAAAATACGGAAAATATAGCCCTTCAAAGTTGGCAAATTTGTATACTTTTGTATTACGTGCGTGAATTGGTAACTAAATTAGTTACCAATTTCCGCACGTAATAGAAATGTATACAAATTTGCCAACTTCGCAGGGCTATATTTTCCGTATTTTACAACATTTCGCAACCAAACTTTGCAGTTTTTCTAATTTTGATAACTTCTTTCAAAAAATATCCTTTGTTATTCCCAGATTAAAAATTTTTCTAAAGCGTAAGTCGTCCATTGTAGAAGGGTTTTCTAGATGGAAATTTCAAGTGTGAATTTTTACACATCAATTCATATATATGTATAAAAATTTCCATCGAATTCGAAATTTCCATCTAGAAAACCCTTCAGTTCTACAATTTTAGTTATATTGAGTGCAGATCGAATCCTGTGTTCCACTTTGTTTCCCAGGAAGCAAAATGATTGTTAAGACTTGGCAGATCTAACCATTTTGGAGAATTTTACTAACTTCCCGACGAAGAGTCTTCGCTCGAAACGTCGAAGTTCTCTTTGTATTTTTCAGGTGTTTGTATGACTTGTATCCTATCAATCGGAAGCTTTCCATATGGTCTAAACTGCAGCTTGCACGAATCTCACTGTATGTCGATGAAATAATGAAAATTGCGTGTCGCTATTTTCATGTCGACCAAAACAATAAAATCTTAAACTTAGCAAACCAAACTGACCCTAACAGATGGTCCTAAATCCTAACCAACATTCTGAATTTGGCAGCATTTTTGCTAAATATATAGTCTAAAGTAACAATTTACTTACTGTCGAACATTGTAAAAATTAATGCAGTCTATAATAACAGGATCTTTATCCCTGAAGAGTTTATCATAATCCACACAAAATATCAAGAATGTTGTGAAAAGAACAATGAAAACGTATTGCCTACAAAGAGAGAAAAAGATTTATCAATTTGTCAACTTCAATAATTAAGAAAAGGAATGAATAATTATTATTATCATTCACTTTATAGTATTCTCAATTTTGATTGGTTAATTTACCTGCAAATAATAGTCTGAGCATGCGCATTTGTTAAAAACGTTGCTCAGCTACAAATAATAGTCTGAGCATGCGCATTGCCTTCAATTTTTGTAAACAATGGCGGCTCGCTTTGCTGAACTTTCGGAAAATGAGTTGTCTTGCTTACTTAAAGAAAAAAACGCGGAAAATAAAAAAGCGACTAAAACCGCAGTCAATGTCTTTCGCCAGCATTTAGAAGCAAGATAAATCAACGAAGACGATCTAGTTGGCTCAAAATAAACTCTTGCCAGTGTCCTTCGCAACTTTTTATGCAGAACCAAGAAAGAGAGACGGCGAACTTATATAGTAAACGAAAGATAAAATTAAGCTTTATAAGTGAATGATAAAACAATTATTGAACTCGATTCTCGCAAAATATCGTGATTTGTCGGTGGCTCGCAGATCAATTATTTGCCTCTGCCTTCGGCATCGGCAAATAATTGATCTGCTCGCCACCGACAAATCACGATATTTTGCTCAACCTCGTTCAATAATTGATAATTATATACCAATAGTCAAAGTCGCATTTTTCTAGTGTTTTATTGGTCGAGAGTATATCACGTGAGAGTGACGAAATTCGACTGTTTCCTTCGCAACAGCGCGAGAGGGAAACAATACGTTATCGACCGGCGATTAACGAAAAAAATCACGTGCCATAACGTGAAGATGCGACCTTTGGACATGCTATAGTAATTTAAACTTTCGCTTTAAGTAACTGCAGTGCTTAATTTCAATTAAGCAATTGAACGTTTTAACAATAAAATATTTCATGTATTTACGTTCATCTGTTCTTTAATTTGTTGTTTCTTTGACTATTGATATATAATAAAACACTTATTTACTGAGACCTCGGGAAAGCAGTGTGTTTTGTGGACCCTCGACGGTCGATGTTTCCCTCGGCTTCGCCATCGACGGTCTCGGGTCCACAAAACACACTGTTTCCCTCGGTCTCAGTAAATAAGTGATAAATATCCCACGGAAGTTTTAAGGCTCGTTTACACTTGCAATTTTTGCTGCGATTTCTAGTGCAATTTTCCTCTTCTGATGGATGTGAACGAGTGGATAAGTTATGAATGTTAAGATGAGGGTACATATACTCAGAATATTAATAGCTCATCTACTCGTTCACATCCATCAGAAGAACAAAATCCCAGTACTAAAGCAGAACTCTTCCCAACATTAAAGCACCAATTAAAATGTATTAAATTTATACAACTCTTGACAATAGACTAACAATCGTTTATTAGAATGAGTTTATTCTGGTCGTCGCGCTGGCGTCCTACATCAAACGTCTTTGTTATATATAGTGAAAAAGTGGGAACAAGTGAATTTGTCATGTTTAAAAATTCACATGGGAACAAGTGAAAAATTGTTATCCGCTCCGACAGGCTACATGAATGACCAAAATGGAGTTCAAAGTTTGAAAAGAAAGTGTTTCCAGTTTACAAAAAGAATAGAAAAATACTAAACAAGCAACACCAAATGCTGCTGAAACACTTTTTAACAGGTTCTTTAATTTCAATTAACGACAACGAGTTTTATTCATGAAATTAATATTAATAATTGTTTTGTGAATGTTATTTATGTTTTCTTTGTTGCTGCATGTATAACAAAACATTAAATGTCTCTTCCCTCGGGAAATAGTTTGTTTTCCCTCGTATCTCAATGTTTCACTCGACTTCGTCTCGGGAAAATTGAAACTCTCGGAAAAACTATAGTGTACCTTATTCTCTCTTATCTATAGGAACAGCATTGATTTTGATTGGTGGAATGTACATTCAAACGCCACTCATTTGGTATCATGGTAAACATGATTTAGCATAAGATAAGATGAACCCGATACTTACGCTAATTCAAAACATTCTTTCAGCAATATGCAGACAAATCCATTTTGCTGGTGGTAATCATACACGTATTTATATTAAGAAAAATGCACAAACACTAAATTTATATAATGATACAACGTTTTAATGTAATTATTAAGACAGTACAGTATATGTTTCAGTAAATATTCTGTACGGTACAATCCAAATTACTTTTACTGCCGTGTCAAGGCTGTATGTGTAAATAAAATGAAGTGTGACACACAAATGTTTTCGATGACGATATCCTAATTTACCCATTTGAATGAATATTACAGACAATACTGTACATGAATATTACTGACAATACTGTACATGAATATTACTGACAATACTGTACATGAATATTACTGACAATACTGTACATGCATATTACAGACAACACATGTACATGAATATGACACTCAACTACTTTGTAACACTCATAAAAGGATATTCTAATGAAAAAATCATCCAGGTTTTCTATATGGTTCCAACGACCTAAAAGACAACGCTATAGTTTCAAACACAATGTCATAAAGTCTCAGACGGGGGTTGAACGTATAGGAGCAGCAACTTTGAGGTTATGGGTTCACGTCCTGTGTTTGAATCAAGAATTCTTCTCCCGCTTTAACTGCTTGTACAAGTAATGCAAATAAATTATTCACTGTCAGGCTGGAAGCTCCCTCAAATAACAATAAAACAGTGGATTTAAATATTTTTAATAAAACGCCTACCATTTCTTCCATTCCCCTCTCCTCCAGGTGCAGTAATATGAACTTGAGGAGGTAAATCTTCATCAGCATTATCTTCTTCGTCATCTGACTGAAGTCTTTCATAACGAGTGCTGGGAAATTTCTCCATAGTTTATCTAGATGAAATAACATACATTAAATAAAAGGCTTTCGGAAAGAGTTGCATATTAATGAAAACGAGTTAAATTAACTTCATCACTGATTTGATTGCATGCACTTGTTTATTCAATTGATCAAAATCGATACCATGATCGATAATCAATCAATGAACAGTCACAATGATAACCAGTTAGCAATTTGTCATCATTTTCTGATATAAATATTGCTAATAAGCCATTAAATGACTGCAATACAATGGGCTGCAATGCGCCCAACTTTATGATTTTACTCTGTCATGAAGATGCACATGCGCGCGTGAACTTTGTTACGATTCGGACACATGCTATATACATAGATACACGACGAACGACGAGGATAATTTGTAGTTTTTATTGTTTTGTATGTTTTATTAAAAATTAATACGACTCAAGGTGAGAAGACGAGAAGAAAATACTCTGACTTTTCGCGAGAAAAAATACTCTGATTAACGTCAGATGGTTTTACTGATCAAGAGTCTTAAACTAGTCTTGCACACTATTGGGTTTATATTGATTGATATTGACAGGCAGTAAGAGCCATTATTAATTAAATGGTGACTCGAAAGTTGTGCTGTAATCTAAAGTGCATCCTTGGCCTATATATATAAGTTGGCCCTCAATGGAAAAAGAGAGCCAGAAGGAAAGAAAGAAAAGACAGTCTGCCGTAGAAAAATTGGCTATCATTGACTAATTAATGCCATTCAATTTTTGAACATAGGATTTGATTAATCAACTCTATACAAACTCCGGTTTTTCAGCACCAGTACCAGCTCTTTACAGCTCAAATCTCCGGCTCCCGCTGTGTTGGTTCACAACTCAGGGGATAAAGTCTATCATAGGATAATGGCGGATATTATTCCACTTCATTTTGTCCCCAAGGTAAGCTTACGTGATGCAGCGTATCAAAGCATGACGCTTGTGATTTACAACTTTTCCTGTGATAGAAAGTTTAGACATAATGACTTTTTGCAATTTGGCCGTTTGTAGAAGCCGGAAATTGAAAAATGGTTTGACACAACAGACATGACTTTTCACGTTCCAATAATTGTAACCAACACTGATTCAACGAAATTCTCACATTTCTTGTCTTTCTGACTTTCCATGTGGAGCTGGGAGCAAGCACTGCAGGCTCCGGCTGACCAAAAAAACCCCCGCCAAAGCTCTGCAGAATTCCAGCCTTCGGTGCTCTGCCGCACAGCCACATCGAAGTTGCCATAGCAACCATAGCAAAACATCAAATTCACGTTTTTACCTAAACCCACCCAGTACTGACAACGTCAGGCGTTGGCATACCTACTACAATGCTTTTGAAAAATATGCCACTGTGCATTCGTGAAAAAGTTGCAGAAGTACTAGTTTTGATGCACCTACCTACCCAAAACGTGAATTTGTGTGGCAACGTGAATATGAACATGCCTCTTAATTGAGATATTTACGTGAATATATTTCTTTGGGCTACTACAGTGCCACTCACGTATTTTTAACTATTTTTTGTGATCATAAGCAACTGATACGCGTTTGATATGCTCTTCATACGCGTATCAATTGATGGTTTGATATTCCGCTACATACATGTATCAACTGCGTATCATTAATTTAACCAATACGTGTTTGATACCAGGGCGCTTATATATATATATATAAGCGCCCTGGTATGCGTATTAGGTTGAATGGCGTTCTTGTCGTATATATAATTTATGTGTCCCACATCCATCATCTCATTGTTGGTTGTATATATATATATATTCCTATACGGATGAAACAGACTGTTAACGAAAAACTATATTACGCTCTATCTATATGGTATTGAGCACTGTTTGTGTTTCGTAAACCAAAAACGTAAGCTATATATACGCGCCCTGTTTGATACGCTCTTCATAAGCGTATCATACTGTATAGCTTTTCATACGCGTATCAACTGATACGCGTATTAACTGTGATACGTGTATTGCGTATATAAATATCGCGACTGCTAGGCACCTGATAAAAATGGCAAGTACTTTTCCTGGTAGACGAATTCCTCCATATGCTCGGTAACGCATTATGATACTGCATAGTAAAGGAAAGACATTTTCGGATATTTCGCGAGAATTGCAGCTATCTGGATGTCCAGTGTGTAGACAGTCAGTCTCAAATTTTGTAAAGCGCCCAAAGCAAGTGACAGCGACGAAGTGACAACCACAAAAGAGTGATGACAATGGAGCACTACGAGTATATTGATAGTGAATTAGGAAAAAACGATAAACTTTGTGCTGTAGGTAAGAGAGTTTGCATTTTAGGTGACCATTTGTTTACTTCTACTATATTAACGAAGTTAAGGTTAACTATATGACACGTTTTCCGTTTGTTTATGACTGTATACTACGTCATTAGTGTGTGCATGTAAAATAAATCGTGTTTCTTTGCAGATCTTTGCAAATTGCTGCAAAGCAAATTTGGAATTACCATCTCAGAAGCATCTGTTAAACGTGCCAGAAGAAAGTTGGGCTGGATCAAAAGTGGAACGAAGTATTGCCAGTTGGTAAAAGAAAAAAATGCAGATGGTGTCGGGTTGGTCCCTGATGGAACGTTGAACTTGGACACTAACAACCTGGATGACTTGGTTGCCGACCAATCACCAGCAACTTCCAGCAGGGCTGTGCCGAGCCGTATCTGGTTGGGGGATTAAAAAATTTGGGCTCCCTTCCATTCTGCCCCCCTCCCAGCAAAAAAATTTTCCAGAAAGCAAAAATTTTTTGAACACTAGTTTTACGTAATGGGGGACTTAAATGTAGTTTTTCAGACCTTTTTTCGACCTCAATTTTCCAAAAAATTCTTTAATATTTAACATGTTCCGCAATTCCAGGGCCCCCTCTCCACAAGTTGGGTCCCCTTTTTCTACTATTCTTTGGGGGTGTTACAAGGGTAGTTCCGGCCCTGACTTCCAGCTTCCTCATACAGCAAAATGTAAACCGGTGCAACACTAGAATGCTGCAAGACATACTAGAAAACCAGAAAACACTCATTCAAAGTTTAAATTCTCTGTCAGACTAATTAATTCAACAGTTTTAATTTATAGAAATCTGATATCCGCAGACTAGAGACTGAAGGTAATATGACTACCAAAAATACTGCTGGTGTATGTTATGAACTCACCTGTGGGGCCAGCCTGAATTTTCAGCAATGAAGAGTCGGACATTAAACAAAGATTCTCTACGCCTACAGCTATAGCGAGTATTCTATAATATGTATATAGATTTTATCCAGACACTTACATTCCAAATATGCAACGCTGTAGTTAAAGCTAATAATTTATAGTCTTAAAGTCACTGTATTTTGTAATATCATAAAGCTAATAACTTATATATAATCTTAAAGTCACTGTATTTTGTAATGTTGTAAAGCTAATAACTTATAGTGGTAAAATCAATGTATTTTGTAATGTTGTATTCTTTCATAATAAAAACCCATTGAGTCACATTATGCCCTGATGCACCCTACTTTAGTATTTTACTCCATCTAACACCAGATGATTTTATTCATCAAAGGGAGAGCACTGGCCAGCACTTAATGGATTAACTGACCTGTCTGCCCATGTGTCTAGTTAACCCATTGAGTTGCATTGGTATATTGAACCACAGTAAGTATAGGTACATTTTGCATGCCATGCCAGATTTATTCATCATTAATTAAGTAACTTCGGTCCAGTAAATGCCTGGTTTTCTGCTATTATAAAACTACTTCCAACATCATGTATTAATACCTGAAGCAATCATTTAATGGGTAAATTTCAATCTAAGTCATCTAAATTTGGATGATATGATGATCTATAGAAGTTCTTGTTGTCATAACTCTTTATTACTATTACTTTATCAATATGAGTTTGATATACATATCAGATGTGCATGATACACTTATGATACACACCATGCAGATATCAGCAGCATAGCTGATAGGCATATCATATTCATGTGATATGCACTTGATAGTATGTGTATCAAATGCATGATACCCATTTGATACACATATCATGTGTTAAGATATATGTGAGTTGCTCTGTAGACTGCAGCTTAGCAGTCACCAGCAATGCATGTTGCTGACAATAGTCATAGGGACAGTAGGCTAAGGCTTGCCTAATGCAAGTTTCGGCAGCAAAAATGAAAAAAAATATCCTGAAATAATAAGGGTTGGGGTTGGGCCATTGCCTGACTGGACTATAATTGACTCAAAAATTTAATAGTAATTATATAGAAAGCATCAAAATTGCGCACCGGAGATATCCACCGCGCGATACAAACTTTCCACACTGGGGCCATTGGGGTTAGTGTCAGGTTAGGGTTATTTCCTGTCAAAACATGAGCAGTACTTTACAAGCCTGCTGTATTTACCAGTTGGATCAACAACACACTACTGTCTGTTTAATAAACTGCAGTTGTTCCTTTCTTTGCCTTGATTGACATGTTTATGCACAAGGGAATCAGCCAGGGCCCAGGGTGCATTTTAAGTGCAATACACCGAAGATCTTCGGCGTGAGTTTGGTAAATTACAGTACTATCTATAGTTAATATTGGCATATCGTTGGCGTAGTTTGTATGGAATACACCCTGGGGGAATCCATTTCTGTCGACTACACCTGTACCTATCGTACCTTGGTCTTTATAAATTATAGATGCAATACAATGAAATGTATTTGAGTAGTTTTCAACTTCAAATATACAAATATCGTTTACAATATTTTCTTGCATTAACTACTTACCATACACAGATGACAGTTCACAATCTTCAAAATAATGCGGACTTGAGCTCTCCCCATTCGAAAATATGGCTCATAATGGCTGCTAAAATCGAAAGTTGTAAATGTTCAGATGAATTCCGCGATTCCATGAATCACACAAGGTTTCTCAGTTTTCAAAAGGATTTAAAACTCTATACATAATGACAAAAACATGTAAAAATAAAAAAATTGTCATAAAAGTCGTATTGATGAATCTCGAATATGTATTTTTTCTTCAAAATATTTGTTTATTTTCGTCTAATGACGCATGCCCATTGGACCGCAATCTCGTACCCAGAGCCATCGTTGACTGGCTCTGGCCACACGGGACTGAAAAACGATCCTGATTGGTCGATCCATAAGTTATTGGACCCATACCCCCTGTGGCGTTCACGAGCGCGGCCAATATGAGTGAATACGATATATTTTGCTTTATTTGGCCTGAAAATTTGCTTATTTTGACGCATTTTTGGTTGCTTTTCGTCCGAAAAAGTGGTGAAGGGATTAAGGAGTTGATTTATGCATACTTGAATACATTTGGGCAAAATAACAGGCTTCGTTATGGTAATAATTCATACTCTTGGTTCACTCTGAGTGAGTATTGATGGGAATGATGGCATATGTCCTTGATCTACTACTATATATTGGAGTGTTATTATTGAAAACAAGTTCAAGCGTACAAGACTTACAAGCGTACACGTATGCTACGACTGTGTTTGTACAAGATTTGGGATTTTTTAATTGAACTGTAAATGTATGAATCATGGTATGAATGCAACAATTAAACAGCATTTGGATTCTTTTGCAACTTGTCAACTCGTTTGAATGTTTGATAGAATTGTTTGATGATATAGTGTTTCTGTTTACAGTATTGCCTGTACAACTCTGTCAGAAACATTGGTGTTAGTAGCCAAAAAAGGTTTCATTAAAGGCCATGTAAAGTATGTAATGTAAACAAACCGTCAAACCCCTTGTTTACATTCTGAACCCAGTGCTAAAGTTGTAAAATATTAGATATATAATATTATACTAAATTTTTAACACTCTTCTGGTTTGCTATGCTTGTAAATGAATACAGACTAGATATTCAATTCAAGAAAGTTCGGAAGGTACAAAATATTAATAACATATTTCCAATGGTCAGGACCCGACTTCCAATGGCTGCAAAACGCATGCGCAGAACAGACTTTACATGGTCTTTAACAATAGCAGTATGTACTACGTATACAGTATGTAATAATATGAAACCGTCTACACAATTTATACAATGGTTCCACTAAAATTGGTAAATAAATGATTGTCAACTATTCCACAGTCTTGGTGTGCTGAGTGGTTATATAGTAATACTACCTGGAAAAAACAAGCAGAACTCAACATTGGCTACTAACTCTTGACGAACGGCCTTCGCTAGAAATGTCAAATTTCTGCTTGTTTTTTTTTTTCAGGTAGTACTATATATAAATATGAGATGTTCATTCTTGTAATGGCCAACTGAGTGTGCAACAAGTAACAATTGTATTTGAGGTCAAATACTCAACAAAAACAACTTTACTTTTTCAGAATAAGACTACTAGAACCAAATTTTAGGTTTATTAGTAAACTATCATAATAACTTCATACATCTTTAACAATTTCAGGACCGCCAAAAGTAGGGATGCAGGCAAAAGCCCAGCTCAAAAGGGACCTCCAAAGCACAAAAAGTTGTGTCAGTGCCAGATAATATGCAGTAAAGTGTAATATATTGTAAAACACCTCTTCTCCCATTTAATAATTATGATGTCATGGGGACCCCTGGGAAAACTTAATGATGTCATATGCTTTCCCTGGAAAAGTTTTACTCTGGGCCATGCACAACCTCTCAGTGGTACCATAAAATGAATTGCAAGTTTTAAAAAACCTTTATTTATTTCAATAATGTGTCATTCTACACATCAACCTAACAAAGCAATACAAGCATGACAGTATAAATGATATTAAACTTATTCAAGCAGGACATTGTTATTAGTGAGGCCAGGTGTGATTCTTGATTCTTTAACCTAACTACTTTTTATCACATAACTAATGAGCGATGCCACTTTTCCAACAATACTATTCCTTTCTTGAGTATTTCATTATATTAGACTCTTCATTATAATGCAACATGCCAAGCTGTTTACTGTTCCAGAATACAGAACTGTATAATTTTGACTTGAAACTGATTTCTATTGTTTCCGGATGTACTGGCATTAATTGGCATAATAAAAAGATTATCATATGTACTATGTACTGCCCCAGGTGTATCTGAAAGAAATGTAATACTAAAGTTATAAAATAGTCAACCATTTAATAAACACGCACAGGTATACTGCTACAGGCTTTTGCTCAATTGCTACAACAGTACCCTTCTTTATTGAGAAAAATATCTTTATTTTATCATTGTATGAAGAATAATATTTGGTTTAAATTCCCTAGGTAATGCATGTATAATAGTAGGTAATAAATATTGGGTATGATCAGCTCACAGGATGCTATAGAATTTCTGAAAATCTGCTGCATTTTTAGTGGGTACACAATTATCTTTTGTGGTATTCTAACTAGACTACAATTAGGATGGAAATTCAGAGCGCAAGGTTCAAAAATTAACCTTGAAACAAAATAATGACATGATTCACATGAACAATATAAATTGTAACAAATTAAAGAATTAAAGGCAACCAAAGCAGTGTGCAACAAGCAACGTTCTTGCTCAAGAATAGCCTATTTAATAAAGCTGAGAGTTATTAAATTACTTTTAAATTAAATAACAAATAATTAAACGTACTTATACCTTAAGAAGAAATCAGAACATTTTGAATGGAACAGAAGCCATTTGAGACAAAATATTTGATCGATGACTCGATGAGTGTTGACATGTGTACAAGCCGGTGTTTCAATCATCTCAAATTACTTGTTAAACGGAAATCACACCTGCACTCAGTATCCTTGTTGTTCACACTAACTGCGCCGAACATATTTTAATGCTTTTGACGGGAAAAATTGCGATTTTATTGATATTTTCAGCAAAAAGTTAGCTCTCCACTCCTCTTGAAAATACTATGGCGCGCGCAAATTCCCGGAGAATGGGTACGAAATAGTTAATTGGAAAATACTGTACTTTTACCGTATTTTCTAATTAACTCAACTCGTGTGGCCAGAGCCACTCAACGATAGCTCTGGGTACGAGATTGCGT